GATCAGAAACTGGAAAGAGGAGGCTACGCCCACCAAGGTGCACTCGCACACGCCCGCTGACAAAAACCCCCAGGCGATTCTACCTAAATCGCCCAGGGGCTCGAGGGCTACACCCACCGGGTGCGCTCGCGTGCACCCGCTGGTAAAATGGAAAATTCCCCCGCTGGCAAAGTTAAAAAAATCCCCTAGGTGATTCTACCTAAATTGTCCGGGGGCTCGAGGGCTACACCCACCGGGTACGCTCGCGCGCACCCACCGACAAAACGAAAAAAGCCCCCAGGCGATTCTATCCGAATCACCCAGGGGCTTGGGGGCTCCTGTCAGGTTCATAAACCCAGGGTCCCTAATGGGCCTGTTTCCCAGCAAAAGCTCGACCCAGCAAACGACGTTGCGAACGATGCACGACTCCTGGGCTGGCCCAGATACCTAAATGATAGGCCGAAAGAGCGATCCAGTCTCTGACCAGAAGGTCTGGTCAAAGAAGGTGGCGACCCTCGCTTCCGACTCTGAATTGCTTCTCCGACCGGATGGCATGCCTGAGGAGGAGACGACGCTCGCTTCCGACTCCGACATGCGTCTCTGACCGGAAGGCCTAGCCAACACCCGCCTCTGTCTCCGTCTCCGACCCGCTTCTCTGACCTGGGATACACCAAACCTTTGCTTACAGCTCTTCTCTAACCAGGGCAGTCAGAGCCGACTGGGACCAACCGACCGGGGATGCTCACTCGTTAAAGGACCCAGGAAACGGGCGAAGCAAGTAAGCCAGGGCGCTCAAGTCAACCGCAATACCAAGGGCCGTACCCTGCACGCCTGCATGACAGTACCGATAGGGCATGTCAGAAGGGTGCCCTACAACCTTCTAGGCATGTCAGAACCCGAGCAGTGTTGTAGGCGTCGATATTTGCCCTACAATGTTATGGGCGCCATCAACTCCCATACCAGGAAAACGTGGTAAGGCCCCCCACATGTATCTGACATGAACAGTATTGTGGGCGCCTACAACCATCTTGTACCCAGCGTCGTGGGCAACAAGACTTGATAGCATACACACTCTCTCTCACACACTTGTAAGGTCATCCCCTTCGTCTATAAAAAGGGATGCATTCTCTCCCAATAGAGGACAACTCGAACGACAACAACAGACGGATCACTCCGATTCACTCTCTGCTAGCTTTAGACACTCTAAACCTACACAGAGCACATGCTCGAATACTCAAGGCACATAGGAGCTCCTGTCACTCTCGGCCCTTCAGACCAGAGTCCGACCAGACCACTTGCAACCCCCATCTTACTCCTACTCATTTGTAATCCCACTGCAAACTTTGAGCACCCGGGCTCAGGAATAAAGTCACCGACCGACTCAAACTGGACATAGGGCACGTTGCCTGAAACAGTATAAACCCTGTGTCATTGAGTGCCAGGCCACATCCGATCACAACGTATGGCAAAACTATAAATATTTACTTGTTGGTCACTTTTCGCACCGACACATGGAGTTAGTTCAAAGCGCCAGCACACCGTGTCTCGCTCTAGTGTCGAGGCCGAGTATAGAGCTGTCGCTAATGCCATGGCAAAAATCTCATAGCTTCGGCAATTACTTCACGTGCTTCATTTCTGTCCCCGACGTTCCTATGTGATTTTTTGTGATAATGTTAGTGCAGTTTATCTCTCAACCAATCCAGTGCAACATCAGCGCACTAAACATGTTGAGATCGATCTTCATTTCGTAAGGGACAAAGTTGCTACAGGAGAAATTCGAGTTCTTCATGTGCCCTCCACATCTCAATATGCAGATGTGTTCACCAAGGGTCTTCCTACCTCTATATTTACAGAAGTTCGCTCCAGTATGAATGTCTCGACTCCTGATTAATGTCGACGTTCCAACTGCGGGGGTGTTAGCATATTAAGAGTTGTAGAGTTGTAGTCTCTTTATTTTCCATCTCTTCCTATTTCCTTGTACTCTCTATATAAATCCACATGAGATTAATGAAAAGTGAGTTGAGTGATCCTCCAATAGGTTGTCTCAATTTGTCAAAACAAAACAGCATGCAGCCTATGCTTTCTTGTTTTTTAGTTGTATATATAAAAGAGCGATAAAACATGGAGCCGGTGGCCAGGCTGGCCGTTTTCATGATGTATCTTTTTTTATTATTCATATAGTATAAGTAAAATATTTAATTTGTCATATATTTTATGTTAATCATCATGTGCAAGCATTTGTACTATATCATAAATTTTTAATATTTTTAGATATATCGTAAACATTAATATTTTTAGATATATTTAATCCAATTTAAAATTGCAAGTAAACGCATCCTTTTGAGTTTCCTCAGCATCAAGGATGGCTTGGGACGACATGCCTTGCCTCCATCGATGGCGAGGAAGTGACCAAATTAGACGGATGATTGTCAAAGACATATATAAGCGCGTGTTTAGTTGCCCAAATTTTGGGATTTGGGCTACTGTAGCACATTCGTTTTTATTTGGCAATTAGTGTTCAATTATAGATTAATTAGGTTTAAAACGTTCGTCTCGTAATTTCCAACCAAACTGTGCAATTAGTTTTTTTTTCGTCTACATTTAATGCTCCATGCACGTATCGCAAGATTCGATGTGATGGGTACTGTAGCATTTTTTGGGAAATTTTTTTGAAACTAAACAAGCACTAAAAATCAAAGATAATCCAATAAAGGTAAAACATCCGCCAGGGGTGCAATGCTCGAAGGCGAGGAACCGTGCGATAGAAGCATCCACGGGCATTGAATGTGACGAGTATAGGGATTTAAATGGATCGGATACCAACAAATATCACTGATATTACATTTATTTTTATATGTCTATTCGGATTTGGATTTCAATACGGATAGTATCAGCTATGTCGGATATAATATAATTAGACATCGATATCACAAATATGTGATTTGAGTATTCAGATACGGTGAACTCCTCTAAATAAATTCGGTCTCGAATACGGCTGAAAAATATCCGTACTGTTTTCACTCCAGGAAGGAGAGACAAAAAAAACAGTACAATAACACTGTACACGTACTCTCCACATCCTCTGCGTGTCATGGTCATAAGTCAATGACCGTTGATCGAGCAGCATCGCCATGTACACAAAGAAGGCACGAATCCGGATGCACCGTTGAATAGCGGTTAATAGGGAGGGCACTGCCGCCGTGCCTATCGGAATTTTTAGGCCCGTTTGGCTGGCCTCCTTTGGCTCTATCTCCACATTAGTACCGGAGAAGCTGAGCAGGACTCTCAGCTCTTAGCTTATTTTGATAGGAGAGAAAAACGGCTCCTGAAAAAGTGCTACAAAGTGTAGGAGCCGGAGCCATAAAAAGCTATACCAAACACACCCTTACACACCACGCTCACATTCGTGGGGATTCGTTCCACAACTCTAGAGGTGTGGCTCAATTCCACGCTAGGTTGAGTGGATTTTGCTGGGATACGCGGAACAATGAATTTAGACATTTTTACAAAACGGAGCCAAATTAAATGTAATCAACAACAATAGAGGCTATATTAGCATTTTTTTGTCAATTAAATGATCGAAATAAATATTTACTTAAGAAATTGTTTGTATAAGAAGGGGCCATGGCCCACTTTGGCTCTTAGGAAGCTCGACCCTTAGTAGTCTCGAATGGGCTAACCCAACACGCATTTCTAAAGGAAAAATGGTTCAATTTACCTTGCTCAACTATTGTGATCGTCTGATTTTGCTCTCTAAACTACAAAACTATTTTGTTTACCCCTTTAAAACTTTTAAAGCTGCCTGTTTTTTTCACCTTGGGTAGTTTTGCTGAAAGGCACCACGTCAGAGAGGGTAAATCGAAGTATTTTGAAAGTTTATAAGTAAATTGGACAATAATTTTTTTTAAATATCCAAAAAATTAATAAAAATAAATTCAATGAAATCTATCCATATATTTTTTAGTTTAAAAATATAATACAATTAAAATCCTAAAATCTAGTTTAATTTTTGATAATTTGTTTTACCACAAAAAATTATGAAAACTAGTTTCAGATCCCCCCCCAAATTCAAGCTCTATCTTATGGTGCCAAATCAGCACCATAAGACGATTTAAATAGACCATCGACGTCAACTAATTATAATGGATAACGAGGGTTTCTACTAAGAAATAAGCACCAAAAAGAGTCCATCAAGATCCAAACAATTTCAAGCTAGCCACCATAAAATAGTGCATGATTTTAGAAAAAGAAACCACGAACTTGTTTCATAATTTTTCATGGTAAAACAAAATTTTCAAAGATTAAACTAGATTTTAGGTTTTTAACTGCATTGTTTTCCATGTAAAAATATATATAGATAGAATTTTGAACAATTGTTTTTCAGGATTTTTTGAATATATTTTTTAAATTATTTGCAGTCTGATTTACCCCTTGAACTCTCAACTTAGTCCGATTTACCCTTAGACATGGCGCTATATTAGCAAAATCACCATTAATCAAATCATCTAAGACAGAAAACAATCTCCCAGTCAATAAGCCCAACGGTCTATTGGGCCTTGGTCACGCGCCCTGATCGGGGGCGCCCAACCCTACATGGTTGGTGGGCCTCCGTCGTACTGCGCTATATAAAGAGGTAGGGGCCGGCGGCTCGAGGTACGAGGTTCACCGTGAGCCGAAAACCCCACCGACAAATCTTAGACCGATCTAAGAGGGCGCGCAGCCAGCAACGGGAAGCTCCACTGACTTCGCCGTCGCCACTGCACTGCATCACCGTCTCCACTACGTCGCCTCTCCTCACCGACCGTCGCTGCCCGTGTACTGCCTGCATCAACGAACCTGAAATGGCCGGCTCCAGTTCATCCGCGACTCCCTCCGAGGGCTCAGGTTCAACACCAACACCTCTCTCTTTATCTTTCCTATCTTTCCCCTCTGTTCATCCCGTATTCAAAGGAACAAACCTTAGATCTACTGCTAGAGATCCTAAATGTACTTAACAGTTGCTCCTTAAGCGTTTCGGCGAGATGGTGCTCCCTATGCGTTGCGGCGACGGCAAACTCTTCGGCGACGGCGGCGCGGAGTACCCATGCGTGAGGCGGTACCGCCACCGGCGGCTCCTCACCTTCCTCTGGCTCCAAGGCTTCCGAGACACCCACGGATCGTACGTACACGCTCGCTCCTCCGTCGATTGCCTGCTTGCTTGTTGTCTTGGATCATTGATGTATGCCTGCTTCTCGCGTCCTGTGTGCAGGATGCTGAGCGAGTCGGATGCCATGCTGTGGGTGCCGCACCTGAAGCACTTCGTGCTGCATGACCAATGGCAAGATGCCAATCTCTACCTCTCCCGCTTCCTGCCGCTGGTCACCAGGCGCCGAACAAGCGTCGAGGCCATGGTCCTCAGCCGCGTCTTCAACGCGTTCAGTACCTTGGCCAACATCGTCGGCGGCGGGGAAGACGACCTGTCCAAGCAGTACCTCGACCACAAAAGAACCATCTGCCACGGCCAAATAAGGCTCCGCTCCATCATACTCAACGTCCAGCAAGCCAGGTTTGGTTTATACAGAGATCCAGTAGTTCTAGTTCCCTATCCAAATTAACTCGCATTAGGAGTATGCATTAGATCGCGCTTCAATTCTTTCCCCAATTCGTTTGGTGCTGCTGTCTGTTTCTGCGTGCCTCGAACCAAATCATCAATCTCGCGTTATGATAAATAAACATAACAAATACTGAAATAAACGTGGTGTGATACATAGGGCCTCGATTGACTGGGAGCGTGTGAAGGAAATGGCGGCCGAGATTTTGGAGGAATTGGCATATGCGACGCCGGAGCTCAAAGACTTGACCTTAATGCCGGGAGGGTCAATGAGGCCGCACAATGTTCTTCCCATTGGCTTCGGGTACCCACTGCTCCTTGCCTTTTGTGTTCTACCAGCTTCCACACTTGCTAGCTTGTTCATCTGATCTCATCTGCTGGTCTCTGGTTTCATTGGTACTCTGTCTGTCTGTTCGATTCATATGTAATCGATCGATCTTGCCAGTTTCCGCCGGAGGTGTCGCCCAAAGAAACAGAGGACCCGGCAGCCAAAATCCCCTGCTGGAGTTGTCAAGAGCTACCTTGTGAGATGGCGCAGGTACTCTGATCCACGAATGCGCTGTTACATACTTATCTTGAGATGAACTGTATAATGATCATCTCTAGCTCAATCTCACTGTTTGTTGCATATAATGTGTTTTCTCACATTGTTCCTTTTTGTTTCTTCTGCAGACTGCCAGCTTCTTCAGATCCCTCTCAGGAAACATATGACCGTAAAATACCATTCTTTCTATAAATATTTTGTCATTAAGCATTTTTGGCTGGTAACATTTGCATATGAGATATATGTTTTCAATTGCAGAAAAGTTAACCTTGATCAAGGCACTGCATCGGATGGCAGATATTCTTGGTAAACAATCTTGTCCTCACACTCTAAATCAAGATTATGTTTGATTAGCCTTAAGCTCAATTTCTTGTTGATTAGTGCTTGGTAGCTTGAGCACACATGGACGCTGTAAGCTTATCCCAACTTACATCGTAGCTTATCGTTGATAAAACTGATTATCAGCTAACTTTGTCTCTTCTGTTAACTAGTTTGTTTGGGGTTAGATTATGTATGCTAATTTTTATAGCGGTGGAAATGTTTTTCTGATGGGGAGGGGTGAACTGGGAAATATCCACATTTTCCTATGAGCGAGGACATTCATAAACTGAGCTTCATCTGAAATGTATTTATGGGAGGAGCATGGGAGTTCAAAGTGGCGAACATCAGCAGTTCTCAAGCATACTGCTGCACCCATACCAATGGAGGATGTCACTGCATATTCATCAGGCAATCCCTTAAGTCCTCCTGTAGGATGAAAGCAGACAGCAGGTCTTCCAACTCCACCCTTTGGTCCTCCTCCTGCAGGATGAAAGGAGGCAGGAGATCTTCCAATTCCATCACTTGGTCCTCCAGTAGAATACGAGGCAGCAGATCCTCCAAATCCTCCTCCCTTCAGCCCTCTTCCTCCCCTCAGCCCTTATCCTCCCTGCATCGAACCTCCTCCATTTGGTCCTTTTCTTTCCCCCATTGATCCTGGTCCTCCCTTCAGTCCGCCACCTCCCTTTGGTCTTTTGTTTTTGTTGACTGTCTGCTGAGCACGTTTCCTCTTTCTTTGTACACCTGCCCCTATGTCATTCATTGTGTTCTCATATATAGGCAGTCTTGGAGGGTCTTCATGTTCAAAGTTCGACTCTTCCGCGTTATAACCATCTCTGAATAAGATACCAACATCAGATGCAAGTTCATCTATGCTTTTGTGTTCAAGCCCGTTTATCCTTATTGGCAGTGGTTTTTCTCCGGCCTTCATAAGATCGACACTTTCCATCACAATACCTGAAGCTTTCTTGTAATTGGTAACATAGTTGCAATTGGAGGGATCTTTTCCAAGTCTGCTCAGCCCCAAATCTGTGAACGATTTGCATACGAACCGAAGAATAGGTGGATATCTTGATGCTTCCGATATGTGCACAGCAATAATTGCCACTTCCTCTGATATATCAATCTTTTCTCCCCCAGCATGTCTCCAAATCTTATCAAAAGCTTTGCGGAGGTAAAACAAGCCAGTAGGTATCCACCCAACTCCCCGAGGGACGAGACGATTATAGTTCACTCCTATTTTGAGCTTTATGCATTTCTTATCCAAAGTGAAATTCTCTTCCTGATTTTTGGTGTCCAGTTCAAAAACCTTTCCCCGGCCTCTCCAGCCTCTAACATACAAATTCCTCCCCTGGATTAAGAATGTCAGGGATCCCCCCTTATACTTCAACTCAACATCAAGTGCCCCACCAGCTCTGGTTGTCACTACCTTACGACCAGGCCCAAAGATGTCAGAGACATCCACTGTAATTCCGCCTTCTTCGCACCATTGTTTCACGCCACCTATACCTGCACGATATCGTTCCCTGGCCTCATACTGATCTCCATCAATACACAGAACAACTGTAGTCCTGGCAGTTGACCTCTCAGTGCAGTCCCTGGCTCTCACCTGTTAAACAAAACATGGTACAAAAACAGTCAAACAATCACCAACTAAATTTTGAGGTAAGGTCAGTAGTGAGTACATTGATAAAAGAATAGATTTACTACTATGAATTGTTAGAGATGATGAATGATTCATTTATTTTAACATCCTGTATTGTGTATAACAGCACCTAGCCAGAGCTTCAACCATGACAGGGCAAAGTCTCTGGACACTGAGCTTCCCTGGAAGTCTCTAGCGACACAGAGTGGTCTCAAATCTTGGACTCGATTCCAGGATTTCGAGTGGGTTTTCCAAACACGCGCATAACGAATCCACGATCTCATCCATCTCAGCTTCCAAATACATCTCTCTGTCCACATCAAATCCACGCTCTCATCCGTCTCAGTTTCCAAATCCATCTTCCTGTCAAACCATTGTCCATCCATCCATCCACGCTCTCATTCATCTCAGCTTCCAAATCCATCTCTCTGTCCACAACAAATCCACGCTCTCATCCATCTCAGTTTCCAAATCCATCTTCCTATCAAACCATCGTCCATCCATCCATCCACGCTCTCATTCATCTCAGTTTCCAAATCCTTCTTCCTGTCCAACCATCATCCAGCCATTCATCAGTTTGCGAGTCTGGACCCCTAGGATGATGCCTATGGAGCAAGGAATGGAAGCGAGGGAGGAACTCCAAGGCCGATTGGGGAAGTTGAAGTTGTCGAAAGCAGAGAACTCGGTGATGAAAGGAGTCTGGATGGTAAAAAGGAACAGCTCGGATGGAGTTTTGCAGGCAGTGGGGAAGCTGTTCTCTAAGAAACTGGGGAATGCCGAGGGGATAATGAATGCTGTGGGGAATATTTGGTGTCCTCGGAGGGGGATTCGTTGTAGAGATTTGGGGGATAACATTTTCCTTTTAACCTTCCTACAGCTGGCTGGTAAACAGCGAGCGATTGAAGATGGCCCATGGGAGTTTGGAGGTGATTTGCTCATTGTGCGTGAGTTCGATGAAAGTAGTTTGCTAGAGGAGCTGCAGTTCGTGCACACGCCAATATGGATTCGGGTCTCTAGACTTCCCATTGGCCTGATGACTATGGAGACAGGGGAGAAAATTGGCCACAAAGTCGGCAAGACTATTGAGGCTGACACAGATGAAGGAGGTTCAGCAATTGGTAAATATCTAAAGGGCAGCCCAGTGCACGAAGCTCCCGCTTGCGCAGGGTCCGAGGAAGGGTCCGACCACTTGGGTCTTTTGTATGCAGCCTTTCCCTACATTTCTGTAAGAGACTGTTTCCAGGACTTGAACCCGTGACCTCATGGTCACAAGACAGCAGCTTTACCACTGCGCCAAGGCTCCCCTTCAGCAATTGGTAAATATCTCAGAATCAAAATTCAGTTTGACATACGCAAACCGTTGCTGCGAGGTGTTAGTGTTACAATGGAAGTTGGTCCAAATGGAGAAACTCAATGGTGCCCGTTGGTGTACGAATTCCTACCTAATTTTTGCTATATTTGTGGCCTGTTGGGGCATGTTGATCAGGAATGTCCGTCAGGAAGCTGGAAGGAAAAGAAGAAGCCTTTTGGGCCGGAACTCCGGGTATGGCCTTCTCGTCGGCGAAGTATGGATGACACAAAGAGTCGAACTTTAAAGAGTACTGTTTCAGGGGGGCCAAAATCAGATGGTAACTCAGTAATTCCAGTGCAATTGGATAAGAAAGGGGGCAGCAGCTCAGGTTCTGGAAGAGTTGCCAGAAGGGAGGTGGTGGTAGGAGAGTTTTCCAGCCCATCAAAATCAAATTCAAGGCCCCGAGGCGGCGGTTCTGAAAATAAAATATCATGGGTGGAGAGTACTGAACAGGAGGAAAGGGGGCAACAAGATGGGGGCGAGGAGCTGGTGCAAACATAGGATGGAGATTGGAGAAAATTAGATGTGGCACCAGAAACAATTGGGGAGGATGCAGGTGCTAGGAAGGACGCTTGTGAGGGAGTTGGAACCATTAGTGCAGATATAAACTTACAAAATGCTGCTGGTGTTGAAGATACAGTTGGGGTATTACAAGGTATGGATGTGGATGCTAGCCCGGTGGCTGTTACTTTTTCTCATGAGGAGAAGATGTTGGGCATACAGAGTGTTGAGCACTTGTTGGAGGAGGAAAAGAGGGCTGGTAATGTGGGTGAGCTCCTGCAAGATTTGAAGCAAGTTGGGATGAACAAGAAAGAAAGAACTTACAAGAGAGTGAGAAGGGTGAACAAAGAAATTGTAAAGGAAGTTAAATCTATGTTGGGAGAGAAGAGATCTTATGATGAATTTGATGGGGCGGGTGTTGGGAGTAAGAAGCAGAAAATGGAGGTGATGTGTGGGGACGAGGAGGGTGATGTGGTGGAAGTTGAAACGGTTTTTCCTTCTGAAATGGCAGGGCTCCCTCGGCAACCCTTCCTGACAAAATGAAGGCTTGGAACTGCCGAGGGTTGGGGAATGCCTCGGCAGTTCGGGGGCTTCTGGATCTCCAGAAGCATAAATCCCCAGACATACTCTTCCTCTCTGAAACAAAAATGGAGTGGAGGAGGATGGAAAGATTTCGCTGGGTGCTTAATATGCCAAACATGATGGTTAAGGATTGCAAAGGAAATAGTGGTGGACTCGCTTTATTTTGGAGAAGGGAAGTAGATCTTATAGTAAAGAGTTTATCAAGGTACCACATTGATGCTCTAATAAGAGAAGAAGATGGGGTGCAATGGAGGTTGACTGGGGTGTATGGAGAACCAAAAACGGAGAAGGGAAAGACTTGGCGTTTAATGAGAATTTTAAATAACCTGTACACAAAGCCTTAGTTGTGCCTTGGAGACTTTAATGAAATTCTCTTTGGATATGAGAAAGAGGGGGGCCAGCCTAGGTCTGTTGTGTGCATGGATCGCTTTAGGAAGGCCTTGGAAGATTGCAAGTTGGAGGACTTGGGATTTGAGGGGGATATGTTTACTTGGAGAAATCATCACCATTGTGCGCAAGGGTATATTAAGGAAAGGTTGGATAGGGCTGTTGCTACTACTGAATGGTGCAGTCTGTTTCCATTGGTGCATGTGGTGAATGGAGACCCTCGGCATTCGGATCATAGACCAATAATTGTTCAATGCGGAGAAAGGGAGAGTTATGATTATGGGCATATAAGGGATCTATCTCTCAAGTTTGAAGCAAAGTGGCTAGAAGAGGAAGAATGCAAGGGGAAGGTGGAGAAATCGTGGGCTGAAGCAATGGAATCAGGAACTATGAGGATATTGGATATACAGAAGAAAATTCTGGGTGACCTGCGAGATTGGGATAGAAATGTCTTAGGAGACCTAGAGAAGCGAATTAATATAGTGAAGAAGGATCTTGAGAAATGTAGGAGAGGGCTTTTGAACCAGGAGAATGTAAACAAAGAACATACTCTTGGGTTCAAGCTG